GGAATATGAATTGAGTCTCTAATTGAGGAATTGGGGAGCCGAGTTCAAATTCCAGTCGCCTTCATTACATTCACTTATGTGCTAAAAATATTTTTTTTTTCCTTTCCCTATTCTGTACGACATATTTTATTCCCCTTTTCATCTTTATCTTCTCTCTGATTGCATCCTTTGTTATATTTCTATACTTCATTCTCTCCTCTTCTTCTCTATTTTCTTTTGGTCTTTTCCGTTTATTTTATTACGTTCGCTTTTCATTTTCTTTTGTGCATCTTCGTTAGACATCACAGTATATTTTCGAATTCAAAGTTGTCCTTCTCCTAGACCGGTTGCCACTCAAGGCTATAGGATCTAGTCTATCCAGCCCATGGATGGATTCATACCATTCTCAAGAATATTAAAACGTAAGTGACTGTAAGGAACCTGGAATTCGACCTCGTCTATCCATTACTCCACCGTCCCTACGTACTATATTAGCGAATTCAAAATTTCTTCTTAACTGCTGCTTATGAGTAGTAATCTGGATTATATATCTGTCTTTACATTTGGTTCCCCAAAACGGAAATTACTTAAGAATGAACCTAATATTTAAAATGCCAATTGCTCTCACGAGACTCTTTTTATTGTCATTCATTAAATCAGTGGAAAAAAAATGCTTACAAATGGTTTATTCATATTAAAGCTTTTGTTTTTCTTTGTCTTTTTTGGTTTTTTTCCCTATATATTCTTTTGTTTATTTCATTTTTCTTTGCTACGTTTATCATTACTAGATTTTAAAAAATATGTTTCCTGATATTCTATTTTATTTTCTAAATCCTATTTTTATTACCGAATGTGTTCCCATAAGATCTAATCTTTGAAATGTGCTGGCAAAATAATCAATTGAAAATTAAATGAGAATTATCTGCTTGCGTGCAGATGGTCTTCGATTTGCAACCCGTTTTCCCACAGACAAAACGTTGCTTACCCTGCCGATATTCAACTGCCATTTTAGTGGCATATGTTCAGACGAGCTACCTTCCTTAGTTCCACCAGGCCAGACCGTCACAGCTAGGACGTGCCATGACATATAGACATTTTTTTTGCGGTGGGGAAGATGATATCAAGCAAGAAAATTACGAGTATGTGAGGACTGTCCAGAACTTACCAAGCCATATTGAATATATATGAGAATTGGTTACGTTGTATTTGTCAGAAGGGTCAATACTGAACAAGAGCTAACCGGATCTCCCCCATTTTCTCTCTCTCTCTCTCTCTCTGATTCGCTCTTCCTTTCTATCATACTCTGTCACTTACCATTCACTCAATGTGAAGTTCAAATTAACCAACCGCTACAACTTTTTTTCTTTTTTTACCAAAGCTAGATTCGTTATTGAATCACCTTGGACAAGAGTAAGGAGAGCGTAAAGGAACAGATTATTGCATTAAGGAAAGTTCTTTCGCAAAGTAGAAGTTTTAATTGCATGAGGCCTGAAGAAGTATATTTTGATGCCGACTGAAGCGTTATTTGGTCTAATCTTGTTATTTGTTAATATAATAACTGGATCATTTTCTAAGCACATTTTGAATGTCTAAAACCGTCGTAGATGAATAAGCGGTGCCTAATATTAATTTTCCAAACATAGCTTAGATGTGGCACAATGCCGAAAGTAGGGGGCACCCAGTGAGAACCGAATTCACTACTCAGTCGTAATTGTTCTAGCGAGATAAGCTTGCTAACCATTACACCACATCGGGGTGCCCAAGTGATATTCTAAGCCCGGCTTAGATGAGGCACAAGGTCGAAAGTATGGAGCACCTAGTGAGAATTGAACTCATTACTCAGTCGTAACTGATGTATCAAGACAAGCTTTCTAACCATTACACCACGTCGAGGTGCACAAAGCAGTGCCTAATATTATTGAATAAATCTCACAACGTTTTTTTTTACATTTGATTTCTCAGTAATTTGCACCTATTAATCTCGTAATTATACAAGTATGTTATTTGGTATTTCATCACTCAAAATCAAACTTGAGTGTTACTCCATTGTTAGAGCCTCTTAAGTGCTCTTACACGTACTGGTCTCACCATCAAAAATTTCATTCGGACAGATTTTCCCCCAAACTGCATCTTTATTTAAGAGACCCCTGTGATGACGCTTCCCAGATCCCTATAATGTAAATCTCTTCTAGGGTCAAACGTCATCTACATATAACATCACTAAACCTCTTCCTAGAATTGCTATTGGGCCTTTTATTGGATGAACAACAATACAAAAAGGGGAAATTAATTTCTACGTTTTCTTTTAATATGATGGATCAAATAATCGATGGACTGTTATCTAACCATCAAAAGGAATTACATAACCTGGGGTTCAACTGTCATCTATACATCAAATATATATATATATATATATATATATATATATATATATATATATATAGTTAAAACAAAAACTGAAATAGAGATGTTATATAAAAGTAAAGAAAAACTTCAAGAGCAACTGATAACAATAGAACCAGAATTTCAGGAACTACTCAAGGCTGTAAAAGACAGACAAACGGAAAATATCTTCTAAACTACAAACAAAACCATTAAAATTCCCTGCCAAGGATTTACGTAAACAGCCGGATATTATGGTTAAGAAAGCTGACAAAAATAAAACATTTTTTTAGTTTTAAGCAAAACTTTTTATAATAAAAGACAGAACAAATACTTGATGAACAAACCAAATTTCAAAAAGTTAACAGGAATCCTATTGACCAACTGAATTGAAAAATTAAAAAACTAATCCCAAGAAATAATGCAAAACAAGACAATTTAAAACTTCCCAAAATAATTTGTTACATTTATGGAACGAACTATAAAAACATATTTTTTAAACAGTAACTGCTACTGCTGATATTGCATCGCTCTTCTATGGACCGAGCACTCTGAATCACTAGTGTGTTTATTCAAAAATAAATACATAAAAATCCACCTTCCTTTCTGACAGAAGGCAACTTAGGTGAAAAATCTCTGACTAATGCCAAATGATTGGGTTGGGTCAATCGGATGTCTGTGGATGGCAATATGTATATATACATATATTAATATTTGTATATACATATATATGTACACACACACACACACACACACACACACACACATATATATATATATATATATATATATATATATATATATATATATACGAGGGTCATTCAATAAATAAGGTGATTTTTTCGGTATTAGGACTTCTAATACAGATAGAAGCTTACTTTTTTTGTTGTTTTACTTCTTTTTCACATGGATTTAATTTCTTTTGCAGATTAAAAAAAACAAAAAACTTTGAGAGTTTTGGCGATTAACAAAGATGGCCGACCAAGAAGCATGCTCCAGGATTGAACAGCGGTCAGTGATCAAGTTTTTGGTTGCTGAAGGTTGCAAAACAGTTGAAATTCATAGGAGAATGTCAACTGTGTATGGTGCCTCATGTTTCAGCCAAAAAATGTCTACAAGTGGCCTAAATTGTTTAAAGAAGGATGGAACAGTGTTGAGGATGAAGACAGGGCTAAGAGGCCTACTGAAGTGAGGTCTCCTGAGGGGATCGAATCAGTCAATGACCTCATTCAGTCTGACAGAAGGACTACTGTGAACTGCTGCGGTAGGTCAAGAAAGACATACAGAACAAACGCAGGGGTCATACAGCAGCCCAAACGGTGCAGACCATTAACGAGCTGGGCTGGGAACTGCTCCCTCACACCCCCTTACAGCCCAGACCTTGCCCCTTCAGACTTTCACCTGTTTGGTCCCTTGAAAGCGTTCACGAGAAGCACGAAGTTTAAAAGTGGCGATGAAGTCAAAAGTGTTGTGAGCGACTGGCTGAGACATCAGTCCAAAGACTTTTACGCTGAGGGAATACGGAAGCTTGTGCACAGATGGGAAAAGGGTGTGTCAGTGCTGGGAGACTACGTTGAAAAATAAAAAAAAAGTAATCTTCTATCTGTATTAGAAGACCTTATACCGAAAAATTCACCTTATTTATTGAATGACACCCGTATATATATATATATATATATATATATATATATATATATATATATATATATATATATATATATTCATATTCTGCATCTTGCTCTTTTACGAGAGTGTAAGTTCTTGATCTTTTTTATCGCTAATCTCTTCATCTGAGCATGCCCTGTGTTCTGCTTCAGCACGAAATCTTGCAATTACATGCTGTAGCATATGACCTTTCCAAATGTTTTCTCCATTCACAGGTAATAACAAAAGCTGCATCCAGCGACCATCACTGACATTGAAGAGTAAAGTATAGAAAATGAATAAAAAAAAAATCAAGTTAATGGAAATATGGCGACATTCGGGAGGGACTTTTTGCTCTCTAACTAGTTGTATTCGACAGAATGTCCCTATCGAAGATTAGCCATTCATTTTTTTGAATTTCTTTCCTTTCTTTGCATTTTCACATTCAGATATTTGATTTTTATTTTTCCTTTCTGTTTATCTTTTCCCCCAAATTTCCTTTTTCTGTTCTTTCATTGATTCTAAATATTCTGTTATATTTCATGGTTGATTATTCACTTCTTTGATAAATAGTTTTTTTTATGAAGTTTCATTCCTGCTTTTCTGACTGTTAAATGTTTATTTGTAAGTTTTTATTATATTTTTTTTAAATTTCTTGTTAATTCTTGATTTTTCTTCGCATTCATTTCCTTCTTACTTTTATTTAATATTTGCTTTCGATTTCATTTTTATTAAATTTTATTTTAATTCATATTGATATTATCAAACGTTTCCGTTTTTTTTCAATTTCCCTTTCTTTCTTTACATTTTTTTTAAATGCTTGCCTTTCTCTTCGTCTTTGATTTGCTTTTACATGACTTTTTTGTTTCATTGTGTCTTTTGTAGCATTTCCCGTTTGTTGATGTTATTTTTCCTGATTTTTCTTTCTATGTCTTAACGACATTTTTCGTTAGTTCGTTTTTTTTTACCTTCATTACTTTCACCTTTCTCTTATTATGTTTTTGCTTTATTTCAAATTTTCTTTTCTTTTTCTTTCCTTTCATTTTGTATTTGATTGTTGTACACCTTTTTCTGCTTCGTTTACTTATATATTCATTTTATTTTCTGATGATATTTCTATTACTGCCATTGCCCTGTAAGAATTCAATTTAGTTTATGAAATGGGTATAAAAATTATTATGGGATATTATTTTTTTTCGTCGAATTTCCTTCAGTTTTCTCTTTTTCCACTCGTTTTTTTTTCTGTTAAATTTTTTCGTTTTTCTTTCTTTGGTTTCATTCATTTTTTATATACGTTTTTACATTTTCTTTGATTCTCTTTCGATAAGTTCTCTTTACTGTTTTCCTTCTTTTCTTCATTTTTTCCATCTTCTCATTATCCTTTGACTTTTTCTTCTCCTTTAGATTGCTTTGTCGCTTTCTTTGATGCTTTTTCCTTATTTTCTCTTTTAACTCTGGCATCATTTTCTTTTCTCTGCTACTCTTTATTTTTCAATTTTCTTTCTTTTTCGCCATGTTTGTTTTCTGTTTTCTTCATCCTAGATTTCATATCCACATTCTTCCTTTTCGTTAAACCCCATTTCTCGTCCCCTTATCTTTTTTTTCCTTCTCTTTTCCAGTCATTTATCTCTTTCTTTTATTCACCGCCCGCTTCTTTCGTCACAATTCAGAAAATGCTTTCCATCTTAGCTCCCTCAGAAATGTAATACGGATTTCTTTTACGTTTATAACTTGTGTGTGTATGTATGTGTATATGTTGGTGTGTGTTAAAACTGAATTCTTTTGACAAAGTTCAATGAACCCAAAAGAGAAAGACGTATTCTTTGATAGGAAACAGCATACGATAGAAGCATAATCATCACGGAAAATTCTTGGATTTCTTCCAGTAGCTGACGATTGTCTTCGACTGAAGGAGGTGAAAGGCTGGTGCCAGACCCAGGTATGATCTCATAGGAACAACACACCAGAAATTAGAGAGTTTGATTTGCCAAAAACATCATCCTTAGCGCAGCGTTTTTGAACGTGTAAAAAAAAAATGAAGATGAATAAATAAATAAATAAATAAATACATTAAAATTTTCATCTGGTAAAGACGTTTTTCTTTTAAAGTAAATCTTTGCAGGTATCTAACACGTCCTGGGTATGACGATAAACTACATCCGCATCCTGGGTAAGACGATAAACTACATCCAACAGAAGGAACTCTAATCAGGAGGTTTTGAGGAGCGTGGAATAACCTCTTAATTGCTGGTGTTCCCAGGTCCGCCCTTACCCGGTGTGGTAGCACGTGTTAGGGTCTCCAAAACTGGGGTAAAACCACTATGGAAATGTAAAAACAGGTTTTAATACCAGAAACACTTTGTAAAAAAAATTATATCCAACAATAAATTTTGAAGAAGAAAAAATATTACCAGCTATATATTTTTGAAGAAAAAATATTACTAGTATAAGTTTTTTGGAAAAAAATTATTACAGCAACACATTTTTGAAATATATATATATATATATATATATATATATATATATATATATATATATATATATATATATATTACCAAAAATAAATTTTGACAAAACAAAATATTACCAGCAATAAACATTTTGTTGGCATTATGTAACCCATTAAGGTATTGATATCCCATAAAACAAAACAGGGATATAATTAGGTAGATTAAGTGTGACACAAGGTAATAATACTGGTGTCTCAGCCTCAGTATTTTACTAATGGTCAACTAAACAATGTTCGAGAATTGATATTCTATATCTCTTAAACAAACTGTATTAAAAATACAGTTACGATAAACAAACAATAAATTACGAATTTGAACAATATGCGTTGTTCGGACTTTTGTCCTCATCTTTGTTGTCATGTTCACAAAGTTTCGGCCCTTGTACGCTCCGGTCTTCTTCAGTTTATTAGAATTTCGAACCGAACCCTTTATTTCGTCCATAGAGGTAGATTGTTCTAGATTCACGTGCCATGCCTCTTCCAGATATCCCAGTTTCAGTTATCTCCCTTTAACGCAACTCTCTACGTTCTTGTTCCATTTAAAGGTAAATGGTTACTGAGATATTAGGTTTATAAATCTTCAAAATACATACACTGATGTCCTCAAGAGTATATTGCCCAGTGGATAAACACGTTGGTTGAAGTAATCCAGTGACTTGACCCAAAGACTTTTGAGTTCAATACCTGGCCACAGCAGAGCAGAATAAAAACTTGGAGTGTTGAGTATCTGTCTATATTTCTGAGATGAGGTATTATGTACATTATTTACATTATTCGGACTATTGTCCTCATCTTTGTCGCCATATTTATTACAACGTTTCGATCGTTGTACGCTCTGGCCTTCTTCAGGCGGTTGGAATATCGAACCGACCCTTTATTTCGCTCAAGGACACATGGCAGAGTGGATAAAGACGTTAGTTAGATCCAGTGACAGGACCTAAAGAGAGTGTGAGTTCAATACCCGGCTAAAGCAGTAGAGAACTTTCAGAGGGCAAAATTAACAGGAGATAACTGATAAGGGTTAAACATGGCACATGGAACTAGAACAGTCTACCCGAGTGAGCGAAATAAAAGATTCAGTTCGATATTCTAAGCCCCTGAAGAAGGTCGGAGCGTACAACGGCCGAAACGTTGAAATAAATATGGCGACAAAGATGAGGACAACTGTCCGAATAATGTAAATACTGTACATAATCCCTCATCTCAGAAATATAGACAGATACTGAAGAAGGCCAGAGCGTACAACGGCCGAAACTTTGTAATCAATATGGCGACAAAGATAAGGACAATAGTCCGAATAATGTAAATAATGTTGGAGTGTAGAGTTAAAGAAAAACAACTGGCATGACACGTGGAACTAGAACAATCTAAACTGGTGGACGAAATAAAGGGTTCTGTTCGAAATTCCAATCGCGTGAAGAAGACTGGAGCGTATAACAGCCGAAACGTACTGAAAATGACAACAAAGATGAGGACAACATCCCGAACAATCTAGATATATACAATATTTCATCTCAGAAATATTGACAAATGTGCATATATATTTAAATTTGAAACGTTACTTTTCCAAGGATGACAGGATACAGCTAACAACTTTTGTTTACGATATTCACAAAGTTTTTCTTCTATCTTTTATGTAGCAGTCACTTCAGAACGTTGGCGATCATAGCTCTCTATAATTTCCTGTCCTTTGTAGCTATTAATAAACTATGTATTTTTGTTATCTCTCTTAGGCCTTGTTCCACCATCCATCGTTAGGTAAGTTATGCGTTGTTCTCCACTTCCAATCTTGCCTTCAGTCTTTCCTGTGAGTGTTTAATTTTCCAAGCCCTCATTTCTCATAATGTGCACTAGATGTTTCACCTGTTTTCTTCTGATGTTAATTAAAAATGTACTTTTTGTTTCTGTCTCTAAAACTTCTTGTTTGCTCATATGGTTGGTCCATCGTAATCCTCAGCATCCTTCTGTAGAAGCATATTTCTGTTACTTTCACATTTTTTTCTTTATTTGTGAAGAGATTGTCTAGCATTCGCTGCTATGTAGGAGGATTAAAATTATATAATATTTCAGTGCTCTTTTCTATCCTGTTTCTTAATAACTTGCTTAGTTTTTGGAAGGCATATTTTGCTATCCCAATGCGTTGAACTTTCTGTCCTCTGTTAAAACATTTCCCAGATATTTAAATTGTACTTGTTTGATTTTTGTATTTCAATTTTGAAATTTTTATCTTGGGCTGTTCCTTTTGCTAACAACCATGCATTCTGTCATTTTGCAATCGATAGTTAGTCCTTTCTTCTCGCTTTTCGTCACTACCTTCTGTATTTCCCTTTCTGTGCCTGCTGTCAACACTGTGTCCTCTGCATATGGTGTTAAGATTGGGGCCGAAAACAAAGAATCCTTTCTAGGACTTCTAATTCTTTCAGAATCACCTCACATTATAGTTTAAATAATCTAGTGAGAAGACACATCCTTGTCTTAGACACCTTTCTTTTTTATATATTTACTGAACTCATTTCCTATCCCTACGCATTTTGTCTTCTTACAATTGGGTCCTGATAATGACCACGACAGTCGAGAAAACAAGGCAAAAACATAGATGTTTTAGTGACAATCATAATTTAAATTTGTATATGAACATTGGGAAATACAATACAAATGTAAACAGACATAAAAGAAATTAGTTGAGTTCTTGTTTCGGGTTAATCGATACTTTTAAGGATTTGAGTTTGGAAAAAAGTAACGAGATACTAAGCTTTTCGAAAAGTTACACAGCAGTTTTGGATAAAAACTGTAAATTGTGAAAAAATGTATTTGTCAAGAAAATCTTCATTATTAGCAGTGAAAAGACCCAACATGAAATCAATTATTTAATTCTTCGTTCAATAGTTCTGTTATTCGCGACAAAATGGCGTTAACATTTGAGGCAAAGCGATTAAACTAAAAGCCATCAATCAGAGTTGATATTTATTTGAGAAAAAAGAACGTAGAGTGACGATTCACACAAAAGGCCCTTTATTTATTAAACAGAAAATGTGTTATTCTTCAGAAAGACGAAGCGACCCGACAACAAAATAAGTTCTAAATATCAAATTGTTAATATGAGATAATTCCGCGCTTGCTTAAATTAGAAAATATAACAAGAAAGTTTTAATGTGACGGGATGAAAAGCTAAAATAAAATACTTTAAATATTTCTTGCACAAAATAAACAGGGAAAATGAAAAAGAAAAAAAAAAAAAACAAGAAAGGAGGACAGTTGGGAAAAATGGAGAAAGTGAGGGGTGGAGAAAAAGAGAAAGTGAGGGAGAGGATGAAGGGAAAATAATAAATCGAAAAACAAAGAAAGAAAGGAAAAAAAGAAAGGAAGAGCAAAGAGACAATCAATGTTCGGAAGGAAGAAAGGAGGAAAAGTGAAAGGGATAAAGAGGAAGAGAAAGGGAAATGAAAGAGAGAAATGGGTAAAAGAATCACTGTTAGAAAAGAAGAAAGAGGAAAAAGAGGAGGAGGAAAAAGAGAAAGAGAGGAAAGAGAAAAGAGAAAAGAATAAAGGGGAAAGAGGGAAGAGAATGGGAGAAGCGGGAAAGGGAAAGAGAGTAGGAGAAAAGAGAAAGAGAGAAAAGGGAAAAGAGAAAAGAATAAAGGGGAAAGAGGGAAGAGAATCGGAGAAGCGGGAAAGGGAAAGAGAGTAGGAGAAAAGAGAGAGAGAGAAAAGGGAAAAGAGAAAAGAATAAAGGGGAAAGAGGGAAAGAGAATGGGAGAAGCGGGAAAGGGAAAGAGAGTAGGAGAAAAGAGAAAGAGAGAAAAGGGAAAAGAGAAAAGAATGAAGGGGAAAGAGGGAAGAGAATGGGAGAAGCGGGAAAGGGAAAGAGAGTAGGAGAAAAGAGAGAGAGAAAAGGGAAAACAGAAAAGAATAAAGGGGAAAGGGGGAAAGAGAATGGGAGAAGGGGAAAGGGAAAAGAGAGTAGGGAGAAAAGAGAAAGAGAGAAAGGGAAAAGAGAAAAGAATAAAGGGGAAAGAGGGAAAGAGAATGGGAGAAGCGGGAAAGGGAAAGAGAGTAGGAGAAAAGAGAAAAGAGAAAAAAGGAAAAAAAAAAAGAATAAAGGGAAAGAAAAGAATGGGGAGAAGGGGGGAAAGAGAGGGAAGAGAAGAGAAAAGGGAAAGAAAAAGAAAAATGGGAAAAGAGGGAAGAGAATGGGAG